GACAGACTATTTTTCTAAGCTCTCTCTGGTCTTAGTTAGAGACTATAAGTTGTTTAGGCTCTTTTTAGAATTTATCATTATTTTGGTACGGTAGCAATTAGAAAAGGATCAAGTGTCCTCTTCAATGTCAGAACAAGAATATTCCATGGCAGTTTACAAATTAACTTCTATGATTGTGAAGGGCATATGTTAACAGGATTACCTGGTTTCTTATTTGGATTTTGTTTTATAATTCCATAGCTAGTGGTGGACAACTCTTTATAATTGTCACGAAAAATTATGATGAGCATTTAAAAAAATTTTCCTCATTTAAAACTGTGTCCATGTTAGGAAAATCTCTATAACTGGGTCAGTAATAGATGGTTAAGTCAATAGATAGGTTAAGTCTCATAAGATTAAACAGTAGTTTTTAAATTTTCTATCTTACTTTCTTCTCTCCTTACTGAGATAAACCACTCTAAATGAACAATTTAGTAACTACCAAAACTTTTTAAACACTGATATCTCTCACATGCTTGCACACACACATACCCATATACACAATGTGGCTTAGAATGCTCAAGTATATAATTAACATTTTTATCTATTTAACGTATCACTACCTGGCATGAAGATGAGCTCAAGAAGGCCTGAAACTTTGTTAATATTTCTAGGATTATATTGTCACTAGTAAAAGCCTAAAACCATCTTCACAGGGCATTTTCCAATATGGTATTTCGCTGAGGTCCTAGGGCAATAAGATAGTCATTATGACTATGTAGACTTTCAAATAGCAGATTCCTAATGAGAAACTGGCTGAGCAGTTAACTGTCAGCTTCTGCTTAAAAACATGAAAAGTTCTTCTCATTGGTATATCCACTTAACAAACTTTTCTTGCAGCTACTAAAAGACTAGAAACTGAGAATGAACTGTCACAAAATCCTTTGTGCATGATTTCTACTAAGTGTTGAAAACTTCTGCTGGGAAAATAAATACATTCTTGGTCAGCTCCCTCTCCCATTCTTCTGGACAGTTCTCTCTTCAAAATTCCTCTCCTATTCTTGACCTCACTATTTTCAACAGATGACCTACTTTTACTTCACAGAGAAGAGAGTTCATTACTAAAGAATTATTCAGCTTCCCTTCCTGAAATCCAACAACCTACTCTCATCCACATCTATATTTATTTCTTTTCTCTCCTCTTTCTAGTGTTCCTCAAAGTACCCAAAGTCACATGTAATTACACCCCACTTTCTCACCATGGCCTGTTTTTATTTTTTTAATCCTTGCTCCTATTTTTACAACCTCTCCTTCTCCCTTTGCTTCACTGTGCCTTTGATGTAAACATGCTTGGGTTTTTACCCTGAGCTCCTTCACTCTTTATTCTTATCTACTATCCTCTTTATTTCCTTATTTCCCACTCACTCTCAAGAAACCACAAGTTGCTTTGCACATCCACCATTCTATTGAAAGTGCATTCTACAGTTATTAGTCACCTGTTGATTGCCAAATCCAACCAGGCACTTTTCAATTTTTATCTTCCCTGACCTTTCCAGCATTTTATATTGTGGGTGCAACACCCCTTCCCTGCTGCCCAACCCCTTGTCCTCCCTGGCTATACCTTCTCAAGGCCCCGTCTCACCCCTCAACTGTGAAGTTCTCCACAAGTCTGACCCCAGTCCTTGTCTCTTCCCTTTTTACACACTTTCTCTAGGCAATCTCACCCATACTCTTTACTTTCGCCTAGACTCTGATGACTTCAAAGTCCTCATCTCTTGCCTTAATTACTGCAGTAACTGGGCTCCATATTCTTTGCTTTCACTGAAACCCATTTTCTATACTCCAGGCAATAATATCTTGAAGCAAAGATCACATCATGACACCTCCCTGCTTAAAATCCTTCACTGGTCCCTATTCTGAGGGATAAAATTCAAACTCCTTACCATAACCCACCTGATTCTTCATCCTCTGACCCCACTTGTCTCTGCAGCCTCTTCTACTGACATTTGCTACACTCAACCAATACCGCTGCCAACATACTTCATCCTACCATGCCCTCCTAGACTTTTTCTGCCTTCTCTATTCTCTCTTTCCTCCCTTTTTTCCCAAGCTAAGTCCTAACTGCCCTTCAAGACTTTCAAGACTCACATTAAACTTCATTCATATTTAACAAATATTTACTGAGAGCTCCCTTATGTTTCAGGTACTGTTCTGAATGCTGAAGTATTAGCTGAAACAACATCCCTGTTCTCATACCGATTTTACTTAGGGGATGAAGGGAGGAGCAGGATATGCACAAATAGACCAGGGCAAAGGGGATAGAGAGCTTATGTGATAAAACATTGCTGTTTTATAACGGGATAGTCAAGGAAGGCCTTGCCTCTTTTGTGAATCGGTTCCTGACTGAGTTAGGTACTCTCCATCTGTGCTCTGTTCATGATGAACACATGTTCGTTTGCTTGCTGGGCTCCTCTGCTAGTCTGTGACTCTTTGAGGGTAGAGACTGCACATCTATGCATTCCCACTGTCTAGCACATAATCGTTCTAAGGAAATGTGTTGTGCCAAGCGCTCTTCTGGGTGGAGAGAGAAAGCCACATAATCCATGCTCAAAAAAGGCTTTTTGAAACAGATTAATACATATTTGAAATTATAATAGGAAAACCTCAATATAAAAATTTCCCTTTACATTTAATATGTTAATAATGTATCAAATACTGAAACAGGGACAAAGTGTCAAACAAATTATCGTAACTACATACTAACATATTCCTGAAATTATGAATAGTAGATAAGTACAGATTGAATAAACGTTTCATAGGAGAAATGCATTTTGCTCTGCATTTGAAAGCACTTGGGAGAGACTGAATTCTGAAGGTGTGTGTGTAATTAAGAGAGAATTTTGCAAGGAATTGACAAGTAGGTTGTACAGATAGAGTCAAAATAGCTGGTAAGACTTTGTATAAGTAAGTCTATTGGTTTAGTTATAGGAGTATTTCATTTATTAATTAGAGACAGAAAGAAGTTTAAAGATCATGGTATTTTATCATGAAAAACCATAATCATGTTGCTGTTAACCTCACTGAAGGCAAAAGGGCAAAATAGGAAATTAAGTGATGTTTTTGTTTATCTTACTTTTTTTAACTCCCATATTTTCAGATGCTTTTTGCAACTTTTAGGAATTATTTTAAGACTAAAATTCCCTAATCATGATCCAGTTTCTTCTTGCTAATTTTATTTTGCTTGCTTTTACTTTTTCAAATAAAAAATGTAATACAAAATTACAGAAGGTTTATAAAATTGAAAAAATATATGTACATATACAGATGTTAGAAGGACTATACATAATTCTACTACACTAAAACAACCACTACCTTCCCTGTATTCTTATTCAAATCTATAAATTGCTTTTATTCACTTACCATAAATATTTCCCATATTACAGGCTTCATAATGATCTTTTATCACAGATATATAATACTTCATCCAGCAGATGGATAATTTATTTTACCATTCTCTTTTTGTTGGGCATCTAACTTCTGGTTTTTTACTATTATCATAATGCTGCAATCTCTCAGCAATTAGCTTATTTCCTTTGCTCTTTCCCTAGGAGAGATTAACAACTGTGGGATTATTGATTTAAAGTGTATGAACACTTTTAAGGCTTGGAAAAATCGGAAGCATCACACCAATTTACACCGTCATCAGCAATGTATCACTGCAACCTTGCCAGCATGAATATTATCATTTAACTTTTTCCTATTAATTAATAAATTTAACACTGTACTTAATTGTTTCAATTTGCATTTGATTACTACCAGAGCTCAATATTTCTCTCTAATTTAGTTATGAAAGATGACACTGCTACTTCAGCAAGAAACCATATTGAGCGTAAGTCATGATTCGAGGCTATAAAAATAAATAAAAAAAGAAAACCTTTAAGAAAGTTAATCTAATCATGGCATGAGTAACTGTTATTGTGCTCCATGGTAATTAGGCATTAATGGCAAGCAGTTCATGTAAGTGGCTACTATTTCTATTATTTACACATAGCCAGATCAAGCATTCTTAGATTATGGGGTAGGGTTGGACCAAGAAGAGCTATAAGCTCTTCTTATGCCCTCATAAAGATCCCTTGATCCGAAACCAGATGTGATCCAGAAGGCAAGTTCTCTTTCTTCCTTAGCTTCACGCAGCCTCTATAAACTGAGCACCCAGCAAAGATAAAAGGCATTATAAATTTAATTTGGCTAAGGGTGGGCTAGAACTTACTTTGTTGAGAAGCAAAGATGAGGCAAAGTCAGATATAACTCAAAGAGCTGACCAAAGAAATGGCCACCAAATCCCTTATCTTTTCTCTCTATGATTACTCCTCCAGTTTAAAGATCTAAGTTTTCAGTGAGACTTCTAAAGAACTTTGAACTATTTCTATCCGCTTTCCCATAGGGAAAAAGAAAGGATTAGAGACACAATCATATTCCCATTTTCCTGGTCAACTTTACTAACTAATAGAGGAGTGATCTGAGTAACAAGATTTAAGGGACTTCCTTCTTCCAAAAATCTTTCTCCCCAACACTGTCCAAATTTCCATATATTAGAGATTCTTTGATGTTTCTAAGTATGGAATTCTGGAAATTAAAGAAGAAAGTTGAGCGTGAAGGGTAAGAAAGGGTAACAGTAATCCATACTCTGTAGTGAAGATTAATTTATAACCAGCCTGGTTTTACATTCTTAGAATACTTAACTCTGAAGCATACAAAGGATAGGAATAAGACTTCCAATATGGAGAGGACACAGGGAGAAGAAAAAGGAGTTAAGTCATTTTGAATGCCTTTAAAAATGCACAGCTGTGGATACTAGACTACAAAAGAATAGGAAAGAAGGTGGTCAAACTTATGATAATAAAAATTTATGTTTCTATAGACCTTGGGAGTTTACAAAGCACATTTCCATTGATCGTATTACTTAATCCTCACCACAATCCTGTACTGAAACTGATACCAAGAGACATTAAGTAACTTACCCAAAGTCACATAGGTAGTAAGTGGCAGAGCCCGGATTCGACCCAGGTCTTCTGATTCCTCCTGTGCATTTCCAGCTCCCCTGGAGCTGAAGCAGGGGCAAAAAGGGAGGTGGAAGTAATTTGCCCAAGACCAGCCTTGCCCTCTCCCCTTCTTTCAAAGGCCAAGCAGAGCAGACATTTAACTCTCTCAGTGACTCGTTTTCATCAAATTCTTTCAGGATAAAGCACACAAAATCTGAAAATGTTTCTCAGCCTTGGGTCCAAGAATGGCAATAAGCAGTAAACAACGTCAGAAGTATTTTTGGCTGTACTTTGCCGTTTATATGAAATTTATTGGAACCTCAAAGCATAGTAATTCTCATTTCAGAAAGTAAAACTTGTTTTTATAATTGAAATTATTTAAAGCAGTTTGTTTAAAAAATTTTGTTTAGCAGTTTCAGTCAAATCTTTTCAATTATACCATTACAGAACTTTTTTGAAAAATGCCTTAGAACCAAGATATCAAATTTACCTTTAACCCACTCTGTGGCCATTTTTTTTTTTCTATCTTAATCATCTTCCTTCAGTATCTTTTTTATTAAAGCAATTATAATCACTAGAATGGATAGAATACTCAGTCTTTTCATAGCCAATTTTAAGTACTTTCAACAAATTAATAGGAAAATGTGTGCATCATCTTCTTGAGATATAAATCTTATATTCATTTCTAAATTATATCTAAAATGCTTTTAATGTAGGCTTTTATAATTAATTTTCTATAACAAAATTTAGAGTTTCCAGTCTCTAGTTTCTTGCATAGTGCTTTAATTTCTCTTAGGGAGTTATATATTTTAATTTCTCATCTTGACTATTTACATTTCTAATAAGTTTTAAACACATTCAATGAGAAATTTTTCATTTCTTTGCTCATTTCCTATGAATATGAGGAAACAATTTAAATGGACTTGGCATATGACCAACTTTTTATCATTTCTAGATCTTTTTGTAATCAGCTCCAATACATCTCAGTCTCTAACAGTCTTTCCATTTATGAGAACTACTATCAGTAGTGCCAAGTGTTAAGTAAACCTTAACACTAATCGGGGCATCAGATCAACTAGGAATATCAATTTACTCGTGCCCAAAGCTTTTAGAGGCTTCCTGAACTTTAAAACATGCTCTATTTAACCAGATTTCATTTGAGTATCAGTCCTGCCTGGGGTGGAACATATCAACCTAATAGTTAAAAGCAACTTGAAACCTTTAAGATGAATAAAAAGGCAAACACTCAGACATAATAGAAAACAAAATAAAAGAGGAGGAGGAGGACAAAGAGGAAAAGCATAGGATAAGGAGGAAGAGGAAAGGAAAAGAAGAACAAAAAGGAAGAAGAGAAAAAAAAGATTTACCTAGACTAGATAAAAAATTTCGAGTAAGTACTAATACTCTCAAGCTTTTGATACGTCTCCCTTTTCCCTTTGCTTTAAGATTTCAATTCCATATTTAAAAAATCTAATTAAGTCTAACATTCTTTTGGGTACTGATGGTCAAATTCAGGAATTCCTAATAATAATAAGATTTATATTATCTGATTATCTTATGAGGAAAAAATACATTAGTATACTTTCCTCCACATTATTTTAACTTAAGTCTTTTCAAGATAAAATGCTCGTTATATTCTCCTAAATCATTCAATAAATAGCACCAAAAAATGGTTACCAACATTAAAAAAAACCACAAGTCCATAAATTTTAGAACTTGAACCATAGAGAAACAGAATTAAACTGACTTCTAATATCTTACTTTGCAAAATACTCTCTTCGTTAAGCATGACTGAGAGCACTGACCTTAATTTCCTAATCACATGATCTGGGAAAAAATGAAATACTTCTAGCAAGATAAAAACGCTAATAAAGTTTGTTAAATTTAACACTAGTTTAGAAAAGTCAATGTTGGCCTTCCCCACTAACTTACTTCCTTTACACTATCTCATTCATTTAACATCCATAACAAAATTATAATCAAGACCCATGCCAACAATAGTTCCCAGACTACAACCATCTCAATTTGATGAAGGCCTTATCAATATCTATTAGGTAGCTTCTGGAAGGAAGGAAATATATCTTCTACTTCTCTTATATCCTTTTAATCCCTTAAGTATTTAGGTCGATCTATTTTTCAAAGGAGCTTTGTTACAAAAAGCACTCAAAAAATATTTGTTGAAAAAATATCATATTAAACTATCATACTTGGGCTTGATGCCTGAAGAAGGACTCTTCAGTAATGAAGGTGACCACCAGGACTACATCAATCATTCAACAAATAATTACTGACCTCCTTCCACTGTTTGAGTTACCAAGCCGGCTCATGTGCTCACTTAAAATTCTGATCCCCTAAAGCTCTAAAAGAAATAGTACTTATAGTATATATCTACTGCTTATTTATAGAGTTCCTTTGCACTTTCACTAGCTATTATCCAACCATAAATTCTCCCCTTGTTTATAAGTGCCTGGAAAGGACACGTTTTTTTAAAATGAGAATTTTTCCCCCCTCCAAATCTCTCAAGTAAGCTCTGGAATTAGATCCAAGATTATCAATTCATCTGATTTGACAACTGTTACCAGGAAAATAAGAATAGGAGATCAAGAGCAATTAAGTATAAGAGTTTGTTAGTTTTTTAGGAGGCTTTTAACTGATTAAAACAGTACTATTCAAAGGCTTCAGAACACACTAGCCTATTAGTAAAAGAGCAATACCAATGTTGAAACAAAACAATTTTTGGTCTTGTAGGAGTCCTCTTCTTCATTTAAGAATGCCCACATACCCTGTGTAATTAACTTGCTTTGACAGTTTCTTTCGATTTAGTGGCCAATGCCAGATTAACAAAAAAAGGGACTTCAGATTTTGCCTTACACTAGATTATTCAAGAATAACGAATACAAAACCACAAATGATGAAAATGCCCTTGCTGCTGGAACATATAAATATCACGTGGGTTATTAGGTGAGAATTACAGAAAAGGATAGCAATATTATAGAAGCTATAATGGGAGTCTTCACAAATGACAATTTCTAAAAGTTAACACATAAAAGTTCCCAAAATTAGAGTCAAGTTAAAATAAAATTAAAAGACCAGTGAGTTGTGTATAATTACATGTAAAATAAGATCTGAATTTTATTTTTATGTCATAAAACACTATTACTAATGGCATACGTACTTAAAAGGGACATAACATTTCAGGAATATATTTTTTCCTCTACTCACAGAAAGGTAAAGAATCTTGGAACACGTTTGAGGAGAAACAGCCTTTAGTCTTTATTTGTAACATAAAAATACAATATTCTATTATTAATAAGAAGTCTGGAACATTCAAAACAATATATTCTAAACATAAATCTTCACCCTATTTTAAAGATGGGAAATTTGAAAACTAGAAAGAAGATAACTAAGACAGTTTCCAAAGTACCTCCTGTAGACTTTCTATAACAGGTTTTACACAGAAAAAAAAAAAAGCATTCCATGAGCAAATAAGTTTGTAAAGCAATATGCACTACATATCTCTCTCGGAGATTTAAAATACGTATTAACCTGTTACTGGCTCAAAGAAGTCCTTTAATCAAAAAGTGTTCTTAACTTTTTTAACCTAGCATTTTCCAAATTTATTTTACCATGAAGCAGAACTAATGTTATCATAACACACTTCAGAAAACCCTGAGCTAGATGGACTAGGCATGAAAAAGTATGTACAAAAAATAATGACTTTTGTATTCTTATGATAATCTAAGCTGCTTAACTAGAGCCTCTTCATTATGTTTACTCAAACTATATGGTGTTTTTTTTTTAAGGCAAATAAAATGTACTCACTGTTGCAGTACTTCCTTTCCCTTCTGAATGGAGCTCTCAGCCAATGACAGGCTGCTAAGGGAGTTACTTCAAGCCAAGGTGTAAAACTCTTGCCAGTAGTTCCCAAAGTTTAATGGAACTGGAAGCTCTATAACACTAGAGTATTTCTCACAAGGAGAGAGATCAACTCCACTCTTTTCCTAGAGGTGTGATAGTGAAGTCTATTGCACATGATTTTAGAATAAATAGCACAGGTCCAGTACAGTTCAGGAAATTAGAATCAGTAGGAAGGGTAGTCGATATACACCAAGAGATACCTACTCACGATAGGTAAAAAGAAAAAAAAGTTAAAAAAAAAAAAAAAAGCCAAAAGGATACAATGGTGTTTAAGAAATAGAGTGAAAACAGAGAGAGATGACTAATAAAATAACCAAAGGAAGAATACAGAAAAACAGAATTAAGTAGAGACACAGAGATGACCATGTAGGATTAAAAAGAGAACGCACAACTGATGACTCACTATGGTATGCAATCAGATATGTGTCATAAGTCCCCTTTTAGCCCATCACCATCAAGGTTCACAATCACTGACTTTAGAAGAGGAAGGATGCATTACGGGAGCTCTATCTGAAAGGGAATAAAGTCTACGGTACACTGAGCAACATTATTTCTCTGCTTTTTTAGGTGCAGATGGAAGAGGTTCAGAAATTCACTAGAAACTAAAACAGAATCATGTATATATTTTTTTTAATTCAAAAAGGATGCCTTTCACATTCATAAAAATCTTTAAAATATACTGAATGATTGTCTAGTCAAGGCAGATAGATACCCAACATAAGATTAACATCTTTGGGAACAAAGTAAAAAACAAAACAAAAATATTTCTCAGATTCATTTATTTTACTACTTTATTTCCTGTGCAATGAGTATATCAGGAAATCTTTTGCCTATATATGCAAAGGAATGGTAAAATTCAGTGCAGTTTGAAATTACAGTTTTAAAAGTCCCGATAAATAAAGTAAATGAAAAAATAAAATTTACACTTAGAACAAATCCTGAGTCTACTGAATCAAAAATGTCAAGGAAAAATAAGTGCACCCGACAATCCCAGCTCCCCTCAGCTGTAGATCTCACCCATGATGCCTCCTTAAGACTATTTTGAAGGAAAAACCAAAATTATATAATATTCAGCATAAATCTAAAGCATCATAAATTTACTTCTTAATTAACCAACATCATAATTCAGGAGCCCATACTTAAGGTT